TCAGGATGTGCTAATGGTAGCTATCTCTTTGTTTCACAGGGACCCTCAATTGTTAATGATTGACACATTGGCCCGTGGAGCAATCTGTTTCCTTCATGAGCCCCTCGGGGAGGGTGGCCATCTGGGAATTCTTGGTACCCAGTTATCTTATGGCCTTGTAAGGGAGTAATTGCTGGTGGCTGGTAAATTCCAGGCACTAAGTCATAGTAGTAGCCTTGGTCAGTTTCTGGGCTATATTTTTTGCTAATATTTAAGTCCTTCAAAACCAAACTGGGACTGAGTGGGGAGTCAGCTGACTAGCATTTGTAGTGCTCGAAGGCACTGTGCAGGCTGCCCCAGGAACATTGTCACCCCAGGCTAGGTTGGGGACTCTTCATGCCATGCTATTAGCATGCCAGGCAAGGTGTGTTATCGGATACAATGTTGGCACAAGCTGTTCTGGATGCATCCAGCCACTTGCCCCTGGCCGTAAGGTCGCAGGGAGGGAGGGGACCTGATAGCTCTTGTTCCAAGGTGCCTTGAGGCAGCTTAGGCCCAGTTACAAATGAAAATAGGTCCCTGCTAATACCTGTTAGTCTAGCAGCCTTCCCAATTCTGCTAAGCTACCCACCCCACCACCCCCACACACAAACTACAAGTTTATAGCGTAGAAGAGCAGTAACAGCCAGGCTTACCTGCAAGGTCATGGCTCTAAAGAGCTTTACCATGGGATGAAAGCGTGGAGATGAACCACGTGTGGGTTTTGTTGAGTAAAAGGCCCACAATGTGATGACTTGTGAGACTGTGTCTTCATTACTATTCACAAAGGAAGGCGCCTCCTGTGTCTGGTTGTGAGCTGGTCGCTCTGAGACTCAGAGCACCTGCCATTCAGGGTTGACCCCCAACTTCTGCAAAAAACTTCTTGACTTTCAATAATCTGAGTCTCCCCCACTCTAACTATGAAGTGAGAATCCTTGTTTTCACACACAGAAATCATTGTTTTTCTTTTTTAATTGTGACCAGCTTTTAAGCCATGGCTATCCTACTCAGCAATCGTAACTCCAAGCAGTTACCAGCAGTGGCTAGGCACAAGAGTCAAAGCCTGAGGAAATTCTGTTCCCTTAGGCACCTGATTCTTTCAAAGCTACTAAGGAAACTTACTTAAATCTCTGTCCCCCTAAAGAGCTCAAGATTCAAAGGCTGAGGTAGAATCCTGCTTCCCAAAGAGGCTGAATAGCAAGCAGCTCACCTCTTCGGGCCTCCCAAGAAGTGCTCATTCTCGCCCCTCCTTATAAAAACCCTTTTCCACTGGCTCCCCCCACCCCTTACAACTTCCTGTCAGCTAGTTGCTGACCCATCCTTCTGCAGGTGAATTTTATTTAATCCAACACATCTTTGCATCATTAAACAAATATTCAGAGCATAAACAAAAGTAACACATCTGAAAATAATACTCCATGAAACAGAAACCTGTGGCTGGCGAGGTCATAGCCATAGTAGGGAAGCTTCTATTGTTAAATAGATACGATGCCCCTGTCAGATTGCATTGTGATCATACCTTCTCACGCAGGGCAGCGTGTGACTGCCATCAGAACCCCCACCCGGCTTCAGTGATTGTCATTGTAGATGTTCACATTTGGTCAAACTGCGATGTGACAGTTGTTAGAACACAGTGCAATGAGCAGGAAGAAATCACCCGTTGACTTAAGTCAGCCACCCAAGCTCAAGGGCCATTGAGGAAGAATGGGCAGAAAGACTGTAGGAGATGGAGGAAGTCGCAGATGGAGAATGCTGTCCTCAAGCAGAAGGGCTATTATTAGATCTTCATCCGAGCAGCCGTGACTACTTGTCAGCGCCCTCAAGCTCCAGCCTGTTAACATTACCTCATAGAGGGGTGGGGAGGGAGAGCTGTTCACCCTCACCTGAGGTACCAGCCACACCTTCCTACAGTCCCCTTTTGGTTGCATTAATTCTACCCAAGCTGACTGTTGGCTCAGGAGGTGGTAGAGCATATAAACCAGGTAGTCAACCAAGACAGGAACTCAATCTGATGCAGCTATGGGAATGTCATCATCCATGCTGGGATGAACTCTCCAAGTTTGACTTTTCCTCCCCCACCAGCCCTCAAGCTCTTCGGGGTTGGAATGTTGGCTGGCTTGATCTCGTGCAGGCAACCGTGGCTGATGCGGGTTGGTGAGAGCAATGACACTGTCATGTCCAGAAGAAGCTGTACCCTCAACCCTACCCAATCTTTGACCCTTAGAATCTGTCCAATCTTGTGAGCTTTAGGGGGGTATTCGATACAGGCTCCCTGTTTATGGCTGAGCTGTCCACAGACACCTACTGTCTGCACTTGGGCCAGCTACAAATCTCTATTAAATATCATCCCACACAAAAAAAGTTTCTAGACGCTTCCTGGTGAGCTAAACCAGTGATTCTTGAGCCTGTTGTGCAGCAGGTCTGTGTAATTAGGTGCTGAGGCATTTGGCTGAGCTAGCTCCTTCATCTCTACTGAGAACCACTCCTTTTCTTTTCTTTATCTGCACACCAGAAGAGGGCACCATTATCTCATAACAGATGGTTGTGAGCCACCATGTGGTTGCTGGGAATTGAACTCAGGACCTCTGGAAGAGCAGCCTATGCTCTTAACCTCTGAGCTATCTCTCCAGCCCCAAACCACTCCTTTTCAAGTTTCCTTGTTTTCTTTTTGGCTACGCTTAGAATTTTTAAACTTCTGCTGTCCCTCTATTGTGTGTCTGTGTGCATCCTAGTAGGTGTGAGCATCGCTGAGCTTCCTTCTCCAGCCCTTTTCTCCTTTGTCTTCCCTGTTGAATTGTCGGAGCCCAGCATCCAGGTGCAGCTGATTTCCAGACATGTTGACATTTCGTCATCACAACCTCTTTCTCTTTACTTGCTAACGCCGCCTGATGGTCATTGGATCCTGTCTGCTGTCCAGGAGTAGGGCCTGGTAGGTCTGTCAATCAAAGCAAAGTCTTCCTCAAGTTAAGGGATGAATGTTGTATCAGCTTTGTCTTTGCTGGCTTAACACATTACCACAAACTTAAAGTCTTAAAACAATCCATTTTTTTGTTTGTTTTGTCAGACAGAGTTTCACTGTTGTCACTCTGGCTGACCCGGAACTCTCTATTGTACACCTACCTATCTGTCTGGCCTTGACTAAAGTCCTGGGATTAAGGTGTGTACCACAAGAGCCAGTCCCCTATGACACAGATTTATTTATAATTCTGTGGGATGGCAGTGTCGCTGGGCTAAACTAAAATCCAGTTGCCTGCAGGGTCTATGCACACATTTCTTGCTGGGTCAGTAATTCAGGGTCTTTTAACCCTGCTTCCACAGTTACTCCTCATTCCTCTTTAAGAGGGTGTTGTCACTGTTAGGACTTTTGTGCTTGTGTTGTGTCTCGACCAGCAAGAAGGACACGACCACAACTCTTCTTCAAGCAGTTTATTCAGGAACCTTGTACCTCAGCTTCTCTCTACTTCTTATCTCAGCTTCTATTCCTCCCAGTCCCCTGGCAATCCCGGATAGCAAGCTCATTACCCAATTAACTCATGCCCCCTGGCAATCCCGGATAGGTCACAGCTGGAGGAGGCACACCAGATCCACTAAGCGCTTCCAAATAAGGCTTGTTTACAGCTAAGCTCGGTCTCCCTGGCATCCAGCCAGGCACCATCTTGGGGCTGTGGCTCCCCACAGTGTTGGTCTTACCTGAATACTCCAGAATTACTCCCAGCCACCAACTGTGACTCTTCAACCAAACACTTGCAAAGTCCCTTCAGTCATGGGAGGAGGCAGTCACAGGTTCCAGCTTTTGAGGGGACATTTTCTGCCTACCTCAGACCCATTGCTTCAGATGGTCCATTACTCTAGTCCTGAAACACAGTGATGTGCTGGAACTGACAGATTTTCATCTCAACAACCACACACTCTCTTTTGTCTCCATACATCTGTGGATCTGGTTCCTATTTACTCCAAGCAAAGCCTGGTTCTTCAATTTGGCCTCAAAGCCAGGGCTGAGAATCTGCTAAAAGCAAACTTAATACCCAGTAGAGAAACAAATGTGCAGTTCTAATCACAGTTGTTTGTTGCTACACTCTGCTGTTTGAGGAACAGGACCCTCCAAAAGGCCCCAGGACTTGCTTAGGCTCTAATGAGGCTTCCAGTGGGAGGGGTGTGATTGCGTGACACTCCCCCAGACTAGCAAGAAAACTTCTTTCGACTCTATAGCCAAGAGCGACCACTACTCCTCATCAGGACTCTACCCACACCACAGGGCCCTCCCTTACATAGAAGATTGGATAGCCATTAAAACAGAAAGGAAGCAGGCAGACAAGAAAAAAAGAGCAGACACCCTCCATTTTGTCATGAGCGATTCTGAGAAATCATGAAGGCTCCAAGGAGGGTAAGTTGATGGCAATAAAGACTACATAGACATTTCGTGCCTCCAGCTGTCCTGCAAAGGGAGACAAACAGCATTGGCTATGTGTCGATCTACCAGCCTGCCTGAAAAGGCAAGTCTTAACAATGAGAGGAGTTTGAGTTCGGACACTGAGGGTTTGGCTCTAAAGAACTATCTGAAAAGGCTGGTGTGTCAAAGGAGTAGTTTCCATGCAGCTATGTGCAGAATTGGTCTTAAAGGTGTGTACCACCAGCGCCTGGCTTGTTCAACTCTTTTTATGGGATGGAATTCCCATGCATTTAACTTTGGGAGGAGTGGGACAGTGGGTTTCAGCTTGGAGACTTGTGTAGGCAAGAAAACTTTCTAATGATCCGTGCCTGCTCGAGAGCTGTTTGCACGTCTCCCTTCCTGCTTCAGATGAGTGCTGTAAGTATGAAGTGGAGCTAATGTTAGCAATCAGGTGGGCATTTCCTCCATGTGAATGTTTGAATTTAGGCTTTTTATAATGTTGTGTAGAAAAATGGATTGGGTGCTTTTCTGTCTCCTGTATAAATTTAATGTTGTCAAATGCCACAATCCAAATCCCAGGTATTTCAGTGTTCTATGTATTCCATTTAAAGTGATAAAATCCATCCTTATGACACTCAGTCTGAGGGTACATCAAAGTTTTGCGAACTAGAGGAGGGGAAAGCATCCCAGACATGCCTTGACTCTCCACGAATCTCTTCTCACTGGTGAATTGTATGTCAATGAATGACAACCCCCTACGAACGCGTCCCCAGCTTGCAAGCCCCTTGAAATACCTCCACTCCAGGTCCACTAGGTCCAGGAATTGCTTTCCTAGAAAGATCATATTTTGAAAGAGTCAGACATTGGCATTCTCCACAGACAGAATAAATCTCCAATGAGCCGAGCTGCCTTCCCCATTCTGGCAGCTGCAACCCAGAGCCCCTGAACTAAATATCACCTGTTCTACATACTATTGACTTCCTCCTAAGGGAAACTAGTAAGAAACAGAAAGGAAGACCCCACCCCACCCTACCCCACCCAGTGATCCTCTTTGAAAGAGAAAAAAAAATCAGGAAAGGTTTAGGGAACACACAGACACTCACACACTTACACAGTCACACACATTCGCACAGCACACATGCACACATGCATGCCACCAACTGTGAAAGACAATAAAGCCAAGGAAATTACAAAAGATAATAATCTAACAAGCCCAGAATGCAGAAAACAAGTAGTGATGGGTGTTTCAGAGCTGACAGGCTTCATCACTCATGCTATTCACAGCCACCTCTCAGAGATGGATGTGAGCCTTAGCCCTAGATTGTCTCGTTTTATTCTTTTGTTGTTCTCAGGGTTGAACTCTAAAACTTGAACATGCTAGACAAGTGTTCTACCATGAGCAACAACTTGCTCCCCCATCTCTGTCTCCCCCCACACACACCTTTAATTTTAGGCTGGGTCTAGTTAAATTGCACAGGCTAAATTGCCCACATTAGCTTCAAACTAACGATCCTCCTGCCTCAGCCCCTGGAGTAGGTGTGTGTACCATTCACGGGATGGAAAATTTAAACCCCTTTCCTTCATCGCCACCATCGGCAGCAACAGCATTGGCTACGAACCCTAGAACAGGCAAGATTTCAAGAGGCCAATGCTTGACATACTCTCCTCTGGGAATGGACCTAGATTCTCAGCAAGGTTTGCAAACTCCCCCACCCCCCACCCCATGAGTCTCTTTACCTGGCTCAGGGGGGAAGAATCGAATCAATTTATCTTCATAGACCAGCCTGTCCGGGGTAACGGAATCCAGGAGAAGTTTGTGAAATGTGGCACTTGAAGTCCTCTTCCTGGAGGTGGGTTTTTTCTGAGTAACTTCGACCTCATCGGCCCTGAACTCATAAGGAAAGGTGTGCACCGGAGGAGGGATGCCCACCTGAACCAGTCTCTTCTGAGTCTTGGCTATCTGCTCCAGTGGGAACAGGAAGCCCTTCAACAGGCTGTGGTGAAGTACATCTGCCATGGACTTGGGCTTCTCCTTCTCCTCCTCCTCCTTCTCCTTCTCCTCCTCCTCCCCGTGCTCCTCATCCTCACCCTTCTTCTCATCCTTCTCCTCCTTCTCCTTCTCCTTCTCCTTCTCCTCCTTCTCCTTCTCCTTCTCCTTCTCCTCCTTCTCCTTCTCCTTCTCCTTCTCCTCCTTTTCTCCTTCTTCTCCTTCTCCTTCTCCTTCTCCTTCTCCTTCTCCTTCTCCTTCTCCTTCTCCTTCTCCTTCTCCTTCTCCTTCTCCTTCTCCTTCTCCTTCTCCTTCTCCTTCTCCTTCTCCTTCTCCTTCTCAGCCCGGGTCTGTATGGCAGGGAGGGGCTTATCTTTTCTCTTGTCGGTGTCACATGACGATGTGGCATTCAGATTTTTATCAAGGAGCTGCCGAGCTTCCTCAAGTGAGGTGCGACAGATTTTTTGGAAATTTGATTTCTTGCTCTCCTTACTAAAATTCTTAGCGGAGTCATATAATTCTGGCAGCTGTGGCGGGGAGAGAGGATGTGGAAGTCAGCAGATCCATGATAACATAATGACCTCTCCCAACAGAAGTGTTCATCTTTTGCAAGGTCTCATTGCCTCAGTAAGCCACGTCAGTTGCAGAATAGGGCATAGAGAACATGGCAGAGTGCCAGGTTCTTCATCCAAAAGATGGATTTCAGACAACATCCTTAGCCAGGCAGCTGTGTCTCACGCCTTTAATCCCAGCATTTGGGAGGCAGAGGCTGGCAGGGTCTCTAGTCTACAAAGCTAGTTCCAGGACAGCCAAAGCTACACAGAGAAACCCTGTCTTGAAAAAAACAAAAACACATCCTTTACAGCCATTGCTAAAGAAATAACCTGTTTAAAACGCTTTGGATTTGGTGGCTTTTGAGACCTGTCTAGCTTGGCTGAAGTGACCTGTGGCCTCGTTTGGAAGAAAGTAAGACAGATCATGCAGACATCAGAGTTTCACCCTGGTGTCCAAAGAGTTCCAGAATGCAAGGCTGTCATTGTTAGTATTCAGGTATCTGTACCAGCATTTCCTCAGCTGCAGCCACTAAGAGCACTACCTGGGCATATTCATCTCTCTCTCCCTCTCCCTCTCCCTCTCTCCCTCTCTCTCTCTCTGTGTGTCCCCTCCCTTACCCCCTCCCCTCCTCTGCCCCTGTCCCCTGAGACCCGTGTGCCTCTCCCATTTCCCGTTTTTATATTCCATATCCCTAATAAAAAACCCCTCTGCTTGAACCGTGTCACACGGTGTCTTTGTCTCTGGAATGCTGCTTTTGTTAAATTACAATAATCATCAGTAGTTTTCTAAGTAAATGACCGCATTATTGAGTGTTTGGAAATGGTTGTATTCCAGAACAAAACTCTAAGCAAGTCCTCACAGTATCTCCATCCCCCACCCCCACACACACGCCTAAGTCCTGTGGAGAATGCTAAAACCTTGCTTTTTAGAGTGTCCTGCCTACAGCTCAGGGCATTCCTAAGAGGCATCTGTGGGCCTTAACTGGAAAGCCAGACAGTCCACTATCTCAGATTACAGCCTAATTTATGTCATTTCCCTGGGGGTGCTGCTCAGTCGTAAAGGGCTCCCCAGAGTAGAAAGGAGAAGAGCAAAAGAGCAAAATTAAGTCAATTACCCAGCTGCTGGGTCCAATGGCCCAATGTAGTCTCCATTCGCTCTCCGGCATTGTGTTGCAAGAAAAATAACAGAGTGAACTAAAATTAGCATGTCTCTTTAGACAGTTTCCATCAGAGAAAAGGCTTAAACTGGATGCTGCCCTGCCCCTGGAGAGCTAGGTCATATGGTGGCAAAAAAAGCTCAAGGGGCCTGGAGAGGTGGCTCAGTGGTTACAAACACTGGCTGTTCTTCCAGAGGACCCAGGTTCAGTTCCCAGCACCCACACAATGGCTAACAACTGTCTGTAACTCCAGTTACAGAGGATCTGATGTCCTCTTCTGGCCTCTGTGGACACCAGGCACACAAACACTCATGCACATACAGTGTTGGTCTTTTGTTTTGTTTTGTTTTGTGTTTTACAAGACAGGGTTTCTCTGTATTGCTTTGGAGGTTGTCTGGAACTCGCTCTGTAAACCAGGCTGGCCTCAAACTCATAGAGATCTGCCTGCCTCTGCCTCCCAAGGCTGGGATTAAAGGCGTGCACCACCAACACCCAGCTTAACTGTTGGTCTTTTTAAATGGAGTCACTGAAATGAAACTCTGGCACTCCAGGCACCACCTGGCATGTCTGTGGACATTCAGGGTCTGCTCTCAGATGGTTCTTTCATGTAAGTTGCCTGTGTACAGTAGCAGGGCTATCAAGTTCTTACCGAGCATCTGAGAAATGGTGGTAAGCTGTTGCCATGAGTCTCAGTGTGATGTCCCGGAAGGGACATTGTTCGAGGATCTGAATCTCCAAGCCTCTGAAAAGGCAACAAAGGGGAAGACCAAAATCAAAGGTCAGCTAGAATGACAGGAAAGAGTTTAACGGTGAACTTTGTGGATAGGACACTTTAAAGTTTTGCCATTTTATTCTTAATTTGTTTCCTTGTCCATCTATGTTAGTCAAGTCAATTATGTTTGAACTAACCATCTTAGGTATCTCAGCACTCCAAATTCCTTTTTTTTCTTCTCTCGAGACAGGATTTCTTTATGTAGCCCTGGCTGTCCTGGAAGGCCCTCTGTAGATTAGGGTGGTCTTGAGCTCAGAGACCTGCCTACCTCTGCCTCCCTGGTGCTGAGATTAAAAGTATGTGCCACAACCACCTGGCACACTCCAAATTTTTATACAAAATATATGTTAAGGCTTAGTCTTATTCCAAAGAACACTGCATCAATTGTTCTGTTTTGTTGCCTAATATTTCAATTTACCCTTACTTCACCTAAGGAAAAGAATCACTTACCTTCTTGCCCAGAAGGAATACTCATGTAGGAGAAAACAAAGCTCATAATAACAGTAACAAAAACAGACATTTTAAAGAAGAAAGAAATTCTGACCATTTCATAGGTGGAAATAAAACCACCCCAGGATTCTCAGAGTTCCTCTGTGTAATGGTAAGTCGTTCTGCCAAGCCACCCAAGCCCGGCCACCATGTGTGCTCCCAAAATAACACACAGAGATTAATATTAGGTACAATGCTGCTCGCAATGACTAGGATTTCTTATCTGCTAGCTCAGTCTTAATTATCAACCATAATCATTAATCTATATATTTATGAAGACTTATATGATCAAGGACACCAGCAGCATGTGTCCTCTCTTGTCAGGCTCACATAGTGGCTCCCAGAGAAGAGAGCATGAGGAAGAGCACAATTTCCTGCTTGTTCCTGCTTATATTCTGAGTCTGCCTGGATCACAAGACTTCTCTTTACTACATTTCCCAGAATCCTCCTCGACTCCTAGTCCTGCTTAACTTGCTTCCCTATTGGCCAACAGTACTTTATTTATCAACCAATAAGACAAACGTATACACAGAAGATCTTCCCCCATCATCTCCTCTTTTCTGTCTAAATAAAAAGAAGGGTTTCCCATTAACATAGTAAACTATATAACAAAACAGATATCAAGTAAGAACTATAGTTACAATATTTAGTTCATTAACATTTAGCAAGATTTAAAGAAAATATTCTACCATCTACCCTGTCTTTGTGAGTCTAAAGTCTTACATGTAACTTATCTTTTATAATAACTAAAAACTATAACAATAACTATCTGTCTTCAACTCCATCACAGATCACAGAAGGATAATATATAAACTCTAGATCTGACAGAGACATCTGCTACCTGGACAGTCACCCAAACTTCCTCTGTAATGTTGGGGCATCCATCTTCAGCCCATAGGCCACAGTGTGTCTAGCACACTCCTCCATTTCAACAGGAACCCTTCAGTACTGTCTTGTTTTGAAAGTTCAGCAGTCATTTTTTGTGGGTTCTGTATGTCCAGTTTATACAGCAACAAACAGTCCAGGCAAGAGCAGTTTCTTGCCCAAATGGCTAATCTTGCCATGTTGAAAGCAAACTTCATAACTAGTTTCTTCAATGCCCATCCTCCTTTCTGACATAATTGGTGTGCCAGGAGCAGTTGTGTCTCACTGTCATGAAAATCCCTAAACCATTTAAATGCCATATTTCTGTAGGTCTTTGAAAGGTTCGAAGAACACCTATCCATCTCAAATACATCTCTGTATATCTAGAAAACCTAACTAACCTAATTATAAGTTCTGACTACTATAGGTGACTATACAATCTGTATTTAATTATGCATTACATTTTAAAAGATCTGTTTAAACACAATACCAAAAGAGGAGAAATTTACATATAACAAAATTAACCTTAAATTTGTATCAATAAATGAAAATCCATACCAATGTAAAGTATTCATTCCTATATCCTATTCCCCTTTTTTCCTTTAAAGAGAATATGATATAGAAATGAATACTTTGCGTTGGTATGGATTTTGGATTATTGATACAAATTTAAGGTCAATTTTGTTATATGTGTATTGCTACTCTTGTTTAGATATTGTATTTATACAGCTCATTTAAAAATGTAATGTATAATTAAATACAGATTATAGGTAGTCATCTATAATAGTCAAAATTTATAGTTTGTCAGTTAGGCTTTCTAGATATACAGAGATATATTTCAAATGGATAGGTATTCTTCAAAACCTTTCAAAGACCTACAGGACATAGCATTTAAAGTGGTTTATTAGGTTTTTTCATGACAATGAAACACAACTACTCCTGGCAATACCAATTCCATCAAAGAGGAAAATGGGAATCGAAGAAACTCATTATGGCATTTGCCTTTAACATGGCAGAAACAGCCATTTGGACAAGAAACTGCTCTTGCCTGGACTGCTTAATAGCATACTGTCCAAACTGAACAAGCAGATTACAAAGAAAAGTAACTGCTGAATTTGCCAAGGGACAAGGATGGTCCTTCAAGGTTTTTGCTTCATCAAAGAGTCTGCCAGACATTCTGGGCCTATAGGCTGAAAATGGATGCTCCAAGGTTACAGAGGAGCTTTGGGTGACTGTCCAGGCAGTGAGATGTCTCTGTCTAGAGTTTATATATTATCCTTCTGGGGTCTTTGATGGAATTGGAGACAGATAGTTATGGTTATGGTTTTCCTTAGTTATGATAAAATATAAGTTACATATAAGAATTTAGACAGGACAGGCATTGGTGGCTTACCCCTTTAATCCCAGCACTTGGGAGACAGGCAGAGGCAGGCAGATCTCTGTAATTTTGAAGCCAACCTGGTCTACAGAGCCAATTCCAGGACAGGCTCCAAAGCAATATGGAGAAACCCTGTCTTGAAAAACCAAAAAAAAAAAGAAAAAAAAAAGACTTTAGGCTCACACAAAAATAGGATAGATGATAGAATATTTTCTTTAAATTTTTCCAAATGTTAATGGACTAAATATTGTTAACTATAGCTCTTCTTTGATAGCTGTTTTGTTATATATAATTTTACTATGTTAAAGTTAAAACCTTCCTTTTTATTTAGACAGAAAAGAGATGATGGGAGATGTCCTTCTGTATGCTGTGAATATATTGTTCTCTTTTTGGTTGATGAATACAGCTGTTTCTGCCAATGGACAGGCAAGATGTAGCCAGGCAGGAAGTATAGGTGGAGCTACCAGACTAGGAAGATTTGGGGAAGAGGAACGCAGAGAGTGAGTCACCGGAGAGAGACGCCATGTAGCCACTGGAGGAGTAACATGCCAGAGTGTTATGGGTAAGGCACAGCCTCATGGCAATACATAGTTAAATAGAAATGGGTTGATAATTAGGAGAGAGCTAGCCAATAAGAAGCCCGAGCCATTGACTAAACAGTTTATAATTTAAGCCTCTGTGTGTTTATTTGGGACTAAAGGGCTGCGGGACCAATCGGGACAGAAACAATTCACATGGTGGTGTTTGGGCTTTTCTCCACACTCACAGAAGCCTGTGCCTCCATGCAGGCATGAGGCTTTTTTTCCTGAAGAGTTCACATGGAACCAGAAGCCCATGCCAACCATTAGACATGCAAGGAAGCCAGCTTGGATCACTTAGCCTCAGGCCAGCCTCCAGGTCGACTACAGCTATGTGAGCCATCCTAGCTGAGCCCAAACAGAGAGGAAACACACACTCATACATACAAACACACACACACACACACACACACACACACACACACACACACACACACACACACACAAACATTGAGCCCTAGATTTGGGCAGAGTATAACATAGCAATAAATACAAACAGACTCTGCACATGGAGTTGGTGGCCATGAGAGCATGAGGAGAGAGGCCTGTGATACTGGTTGTCCTGGGAGAGTTGGGGAGCTTACAGGCTCTGAGATAGACTCTATAACTCATGCTGCAGGAACACTCTGACATAGGGAGAAATGTGATGATGAGAAGCTGTCAGTTAACCCTGATGCAACCCCACAGTGTGAGTCTATCGGCATTTTCTACAGGAGAGAAAAGTGCAGTAGTGGACTGGTAAATGAGCTTGTAGACAGTCTGCAAACATTGGCCATGGCTCAGGCTTAGGCTTGTGCAGCATCCACCATAGTGCAGTGTGCCTGTGGAAGCTCCCGGCAGTCTGAAACATGAGGCAGAGCATGAAGAAGAAACGAGGCAGAGAAGACACAGTCTGGAGGGCAGGAGGGATGGAGAGGCTTGAATAAGA